TAGGGAAGGGTCTACAGGGTGTTCAGGATCTCACTACTAGATCGGACTCCTAGTGATACGCCTGTGTACAGCCTCCCAAGAGCTGGGATTACAGGTGCGTGCCACCACACCCAGTCTCAATTGCCATCTCAGCACACCCCGGGGGCAGGGCCGGCATGGCAGGCCCAGGGATCCAACACATCTCCCCACACCACTGCCACACCCCCACCCCTACCCCCAGCCCCATCCCCACCCCAGGACCCTGTGCCTACTTGCAGGCGCTTTAATCTACTGAGCTATTTGGCCGGCCCAGGGTATTTCAATTTTTTATGCATAATCTATCTCCCAAGTTGTGAAATGTCTGTAAAATAACTATATAGTCTCCATTGCCTAGAATGATGGAACAATGCCTAAAAAGATCTGGGTAAATACTTGTTAAAATTAAATTTAAAATAACTAAGCAGGGGGGCCGGGGAGATAGCTCAGTAGAATAAGTGCTTGCTTGGCAATCACCGGTTATGAAAAAAAAAAACTGAGCAGGATACTGTATCAAAATAAAAGCAATTGCTTTCCAATAGACTAATAATGAACCCACTAAGAGTGAAATAGGGAAAACAAATATATTCCCAAGAGCTTCAAGATAAAATACAATAATGACTTCAAGTTCAACCTGACCTAGGAAGCAAGTCTCAATATATAAATAAATACATACATAAAATTCTCCCCCTAATTTTCCAAAATATGTGATAAGCCTAAAAAGACTCTTGATACATTCTCTGAACTACAAGTAGACATTCTTCAGTAAGCACTTACATTTACTTAGTCCCAATAACACCACTTACAGAGCCATCACCAAAGCCAAAGATTGTTCCAAGCATTCCACAGGTACTGGAGACTAACAATGAAACCCTGGGCCTTTCCTTTTTTTTTGGTGGAACCAGGGATTGAACTAAGGCCCTTGCGCTGCTTATTCTACTGAGCTATCTCCCCAGCCCCAAAATCCTGGGCCTTCAAAACCTGAACTAAATTACTAAGATTGGGTCTGGTGAGATGGCTCAGTAGTCTAAAGCACCTACTTGGAACAAGCTTGGCAAAGCACAGGGACCACGGTTCAATCCCCCAGCACCACATGCCAGCCAGTCCGCCCCCTGGTGGGCTGAGCTGACCACACACACACACACACACACACAAAATAAATAAATAAATGTTAAATTACTAAGATTATATTGGAAAGATGTAAGCACCAAAGAAAGAGCCTATCCAGGATTTGGTGTCCAGACAACAAATAGCAACGTGAAGAAAAGGGAGGGAAGTGGGCCTGGGACTCAGGAAGTATCTGAAGCAAAAACTAAAGCTCATAGGGAGAGCAAAGACGAGACGTCAAGAAGAGAGAAGTGGTATCCACCTTTTTTTCCTGAACCTGGACCCAATGAGTGTGTGGAGCAATTCAAACTTGTAGACACAGGCGACTAATGGAGACTGGAGAGGCTACCACAGAGAAACGCAATGGAGCAGTGGACTGCAATGGAGCAGTGGACTGCAGTGGCTAGCTTCTTGATACTACTGTTATTGATGACTGTACCACTTTAGCCAAAGTGACATAACTGTTCTAATCAGTTGCTCTTCCTAGTATACCAAGACTAAGATTCCCTAAAGGCCACAAAAATTACTATAGGCAACTGCCAAAGAACCAGGAGGTAGGGCAAGCAAGCAGCAACATCCCCTCCCCAATAAATAGAAGAGGTAGAGCTTGCAACAGACTCATAACCTAAAAGCCAGCTATACATAGAAGACATCTCTGAGAAATAGTCATTTCTTTTTCTTTCCTTTCCTTTTTTTTTTTTTTTTTTTTTCTTTTTGGCAGAACCAGGGATTGAACACAGGCCCCAAGCACTTATTCTACTGAACTATCTCCCCAGCCTCGAAGTAGTCATTTCTTAAGGGTTGTAAATACTAGCAATAAAGCTACTCATCAGATACAATTTACAAACATCAACCCAGGAATAAAACTAAAAATAAATAAATAAATAAAAATGAGATAACACTTAAACAAGATGCAACCATAGACTTCCATCTCACCAAAGGCAAATAGCCACCCACCTGGACTCTGAAGTGATAACAGAAGTAACAAAGCAGATCAAGACTCCAGGGGAAAAAAAAAAAATCAAATCAGAAATAATTTCTGAGGGGGCCAGGGAGACAGCTCAGTGGAATAAGCACTTGCCTGGCAAGCACAGGGGCCTGAGTTCAATACCTGGTTCCACAAAGAAAAA